TATTCATTAGAGATATTGGTCTAAAGTTTTCTTTCTTTGATGTGTCTTTGCCTGGTTTTGGAATTAGGGTGATACTGGACTCATGGAATGAGTTTGGAAGAGCTCCCTCTTTTTCTATTTCCTGAAATAAATTGAAGAGTATTGGTATTAGTTCTTCTTTAAAGGTCTTGTAGAACTCAGCTGTGTATCCATGTGGTCCTGGGCTTTTCTTGGTTGGTAGGCTTTTGATGGTGTCTTTTATTTCATTGATTGAAATTGATCTGTTTAAATTGTGTATATCATCCTGATTCAATTTGGGCAAATCATATGAGTCTAGAAATTTTTCAATGCCTTTGATATTTTATATTTTATTGGAGTAAAAGTTTTCAAAAATAATTTCTAATTATCTCTGGTATTTCTGTAGTGTCTGTTGTGATTTCTGTAATGTCTTTGGCTTGAAGTCTACTTTATTTGATATGAGGATGGAAACCCCTGATTGTGAAATTTCCTTTTTCATCATGTATGTTAGTAATTTGAGTTTTCTCAGTTTTCTCTCTCCTTCTCTTTATTAGCATGGCTAAGGGTTTGTCAATTTTTTTTCAAAGAACCAACTTTTTGTTTTGTCAATTCTTTCAATTATTTCTTTTGTTTCAATTTCATTGATTTTAGCCCTGATTTTAATATTTCCTGTCTTCTATCACTTTTGGTGTTGATTTGTTCTTCTTTTTCTAGGGCTTTGAGATGTACTGGTAAGTCATTTATTTGTTGAATTTTTCTTCTTTTAAGGAATGAACTCAATGCAATGAACTTTCCTCTTAGTACTGCCTTCATAGTGTCCCAGAGATTTCAATATGTTTGTATTCTCATTCATCTCTAAGAATTTTTAAATCTCCTCCTTAATGTCTTTTGGAATTCATTGTTTATTCAGTAACATATTATTTAGTCTCCAGATGTTGGAGTAGCTTCTATTTTTATCTTATCATTGATTTCTAATTTCATTCCATTTTGATCTGATAGATTGCAGGGTAGTATCTCTATTTTTTAAATTTTTGTTAAGAGTTGCTTTGTGGCTTAATTTATGGTCTATTTTAAAGGAGGATCCATATGCTACTGAAAAGAAAGTGTATTTGTTCGTTGAAGGATGAACTATTCTATATATGTCAGTTAAGTCTAAGTTATTGATTGTATTATTGAGTTTAATAGTTTCTTTGTTCAGCTTTCGTTTGGATGATCTATCCAGTGGTGAAAGAGGAGTGTTAAAATTCATCTATAATTATTGTGTTGTTGTCTATTTGACTCTTGAACTTGAGAAGAGTTGGTTTGATGAACACAGACACTCCATTGTTTGGGGCATATAAATTTATTATGTTTTGTTGATGAATGGTTCCCTTAAGCAGTATGAAATATCAATTTTTATACCCCTTTTGATTAACTTTGGCTTGAAGTCTACTTTATTTGATATGAGGATAGAAACTCCTGCTTGCTTCCACAGTCCATGTGAGTAGTATGATTTTTTCCAACCTTTCACATTCAGTCTGTGGGTGTCTTTTCCTATGAGATGAGTCTCTTGGAGGCAGCATATTGTTGGGTCTTTTTTTAAAAAATTCAATATGCCAAAAACAAAACAAAACAAAAACAATATGCCAGTCTATGTCTTTGGATTGGTGAGTTTAGGCCATTAACATTCAGGGTTATTATTGAGACATGGTTTATATTCCCAGCCATTTTTGTTTATTTTAGGTATTTAACTTGACTTAGTTTCTTTTTTGATTAGTTTTTCCTTTAGTATAATATTTCCTTTTGCTGATCTTTATTTTTGTGTTTCAATTCCTCTTCATGGAATATTTTGCTGAGGATAGTGCAGGCTTTCATGTTGTAAATTCTTTCAGCTTTTGTTTATCATGGAAGGTTTTTATTTTATCATCAAATCTAAAGCTTATTTTTGCTGGATAAAAGATTCTTGGTTGGCAACCATTTTCTTTCAGAGCTTGATATAGGTTGTTCCAGAATCTTCTAGCTTTCAGGGTCTGGGTTGAAAAATCTTCATATAATCTAATTGGTTTTCCTCTATATGTACTCTGGTTCCTTTCTCTCATGGCTTTTAATATTCTCTCCTTATTATTTTTATGTTGAGCATTTTCTTTATAATGTGCCTTGGTGTGGGTCTATGGTAATTTTGTGCATTTGGCGTTCTGTAAGCCTCTTGACTTTGATTTTCCAATTCATTCTTCATGTTTGGAAAATTTTCTGATATTTCATTGAATAGATTGCTCATTCCTTTGGTTTAGAACTCTGTGCCTTCCTCTATCCCAGTAACTCTTAAATTTGGTCTTTTAATGTTATCCCATATTTCTTGAATGTTCTGCTCATGGTTTCTTACTGTTTTCACTGTGTGGTCAACATTATTTTCAAGATTATATATTTTATCTTCATTGTCTGAGGTCCTGTCTTCCAAGTTGTCTACTCTGTTGGTGATGATTTCAATTGAAAATTTAATTTAGTTTATTGTTTATTTCATTTCAAGGATTTCTGTTTTTTTAAGAATCTCTATCTCCTTATTGAAGTAATCTTTTGTTTTCTGTATTTGTTTATGTAGCTCTTTGTCAAAGTGATTTTTTGCTGCCTGCATTTGCTCTCTTATATCATCCTTTAATTCACAGGACATTTAATTATGTACATCCTGAACACCTTCTCTGTAATTTTTTCTGCTGTGTTGGCCATGGATTCTAATAATATGGTATCTTGATTTGTTTGGGGCACTTTCTTCCCTTGTCTTTTCATGTTGCTTGTGTGTCTTCCTTTCTAGCACTGTGGATCTGAGGCATTATGGTTTTTACCCTATAGGCTTATAGTGCCCCTTGTAAGGTTCTAATACCTCTCCTTTGAGGTTAAGGGCAATGTTAACAGATCCTATTATAAATAATATAAACCCTAAAAACAAATATTTCCTATTAAGATGTTTACAGTTGGATCACAATGTACAGAAATGATGAATTTAATTATTGTCTTGATTCATTCATATATTGACAGGCATCCGGGATAATTCCCTGATTTGGCTAATGTGAATTGTGTTGCTATAAACATCGAAGTGAATGTATTGCTATATTATGCTGATTTTAGGTTTTTTTTTTTTTTTAGGATAAATGCCAAGGAGAAAATGAGTCTATTGGTAGATTTACTCTTAGTTTTTTGAGGAATTTCCACACTGCTTTCCAGAGTGGTTGTACTAATTTGTAGTGCCACTAACAATGCAACTGCGTACTCTGACACTTTTTGAAGAGTTCAATCCATGGTCATGTAAAATGTTCCTCAGCTTGATTTGGTGTGGTTGTTTTCTTGGATATTAGAAGCCAGTTTTGTGTTTTGGAAAAGAACATTATATAGGTGATATCATGGATGTCCCACTGCATCAGATTGTGGCTGATGGCACATGATTTCAGTTTGTCCCATTATTGGTGCTACTAAGATTCACACTTAGCATGGAGATGTCTGCCAGATCTCTTTATTGCTGAGGTTCTGTTATTAAAAGTAAAAATAAAAAATAAGTTCAGAAGGTTCTTCTTATTTAAGACATTATGAATAACCTGTTTACAAATAACTCAACCAACAATTTTTTATTTTTATTTTTTAAAAATTATTTATTTTTTCTCTTCTTCTTCTTCTTCTTCTTCTTATTATTATTTTGCATTAAATTCTTAATACAGTTTTATACAACAATTTATCATATCTCTGTATACAAGATATGTTGACACAAAATTCATATCTTCATACATATATTTTGTGCAATGATGAGGGTCTCCTTCCACCATCCCTGAAATTCCCCTTCTCCCTTCCTTTCCCCCCCATTCCTCTTCCCTATCTAGAAGTAATTTTCTTCCCATGCTTTTCCTCCCTACCCCATTTTGATTCACCCTCCTTATATCAGAGAAGACATTTGTTTTTTTGGGGGATTGGCTAACTTCACTTAGCATAACCTGCTCTAATGCCATCCTTTTCCCTGCAAATGCCGTGATTTTATTATTTTTTTAGTGCTGAGTAATATTCCATTGTTTATAAATGCCACATTTTTCCCCATCCATTCATCCATGTTATTTTATTTTAGTTGTAGATGGACACATATATTTATGTATGTATGTATGTATGTATGTATGTATGTATGTATATATGTATGAATGTGGTGCTGAGGACCGAACCCAGTGTCTCACATATGAGAGGCAAGTGCTCAACCAGTGAGCCACAGCCCCAGCCCTCAACCAACAGTTTTAACATTAATTGATGATCCGTGCCTGACTTGCTGCAAAATGATGACTTTTCTATTTTTCACCCTGCTGTGTTTTTAAGATAGGATTCATCTGTGAAGAGTTCCTCCATGTTTGAAATCAAAATAAACATATTACATTCCAATGATAAGTGCTCAATAGGTGTTAGTGTACTTGTTAATATCTCACCAATAGTCATTTTAAATCAGACCAGATCTCTAAAAAATCCACAATTATTTATTTATTAAATAAATAATTCTAAATACTCCTGACTTTTCAAGAGTGAGCCCAAAATTATACTGTAAACCATAAACCACATGTGAGATATGCAAAAAACTGAATTGATGAAATAGAGCAACATGTGGGGACAGACACCAAGGTCCCAGCTTGGTGCTATGTAGAATTCAGAAGGTCTAGCATCCATATTCCCAAGTACTCAGCCCTGCAACTGCTCACAGAGGATGCTTTTACTGCTTGTGGCCTTAAACTTTTGCTTGGTTTGTCTTTCTGGAATTGTCACTTCTTTTCCTTGGACCTGGATTTTCTCAAATATAGATCAGATGAATTCCATTATTTCTTTCCATTTGACTTAATTTTTTTTAATTGTTGATGGAACTTTATTTTATTTATTTATTTATATGTAGTGCTGAGAATCAAACCCAGTGCCTCACATGTGCTAGGCAAGAGCTCTACCACTGAGCCACAACCCCAGCCCTCCATTCAACTTCTTTATTACTAATTTTATCTGTCTGTTGTTTCCAGGGAACAAGAATAATAACATCACTGACTTCCGTGCTACATGACGATAAGGAATTCCCTAATCCAGAGGTGTTTGATCCTGGTCACTTTCTGGATGAGAGTGGCAACTTTAAGAAAAGTGACTACTTTATGCCTTTTTCATCAGGTAATAAAAATTCATTTCCAGTTGTAAGAGTATCACTCTTAGATGCTAAGTAGCCTAGCATACATAATGGGCTCTTAAGAGTCTCACTCCTGAGTTAGGAAGCAGATGAACAAACAGATCATTGAAATTTAGATCATTGTAATCATTGAAAGCTGTGCTGTGAGAGAGAGAAACACAGGTTTCTGGGGAGGCAGAGGGTTGCTTTCATTCTGCTTTTTTTAAAGTATTTTTATTAGTTGTTGATTAACTTATTTATTTATTTGTTTGTATGTGGAGCTGAGAATCGAACCCAGTGCCTCACACATGCTAGGCAAGTGCTCTATCACTGAGCCACAATCCCAGCCCTCATTCTGCTTTTTTATATCCAAAAACATTCTAACGAGGGTGTCGGGAGCCACTCTGGAAATGCACGCCCTTAAGTCCTGAGCAAGAGATACTAAACAATTATTGTGCCCCAAAGTAACTTGGGCTTTACCTCTGCTCAGATAATAAGGTGTGGCTCCAGGAGTAGGCACTACCAGGTGGGATTGAGTTACACTCACCTCTTCCTTTGTAATCCTACCTCTTGCCCTTTTTGGGATAGAATGTTCCATGGAATCTCCCCTTGTATGTCTCCTATGTAAGAATAAAGAATTCCAGTGACTCTCTCTTTCCACGGACCCTTAAGGTCAGAGAGTCACCTCAGATTTTGAAAAGATACTTCTTTTTGTGTTTCCGTGCTTCTTTTGCTGTTTTCTTAAGTTATTGGAATAGCCAGATTTGTGAACCCAGCACAGGTCACCAGATACAAGGGAAAGAGGGTTGAGCTGGCTTACAGGAGGTGGGGAGCAAGGGAAGAAGAGAAGGCAGGGCACCTTACAGAAGTAATGGAGTCCAGGAGAGAATGTTTTCTATAGATCTAGGGGGTCAGAGCATACCAGGTAAATGAAGGCTGAACAAAACCTTGGGAATGTGGAAGGAGAGTCTGCAGTGATTCCAGAGCACCATCCTCTTTCTCTTCTCATGATCATGCATTTAGAATTCTGTCTCATCGTTAAATTGTGTGTGCCAAGACTCTAGACATGGAATCACCTTCATTTTTTTTGCTATGGATTTTGATGCCTCTGTTGGGCCTGGCACTGCCCATATCCAGATGTTAAGGATGGAGCCCTTCTTTTAAATCACTCATATTTAGCTGGATAAAACAAAATAAGAGAAAATAGGATTTGAAGTGAGCCATGCTTCTGTGGAAGCATGACTATTATGAGAAAACTTATAGAGGGTGAGAGTCTACACCTTCTAAGCATGCATTGTAAAGAGGATATGACAAGGACATAGGTCATGAAGGAAGTATAAGAGCAAAAACCTGTCTAGCACAGGGTGCCTGATAAAATGAGATACTGGTGGGTAGCGACTGTGACTAATCTTCTGTGCATCTGTCTCTCCAATCATTCTGTCTTTGACCCATACACATAAGTAATCATTCATCATATAAGTTACTGAATATTCTTTAAAACATTTCAGAACCTAATGTTTAAGGAGGGAAAACTCTGTTTGTCATCTTTAGGAAAACGTATATGTTTGGGAGAGGGCCTGGCCCGCATGGAGCTGTTTTTGTTCCTGACCACCATTTTACAGAATTTTAAGCTGAAACCTGTTATTGACCCCAAGGACATCGACACCACCCCCATTGCCACTTCACTTGGCCGTGTGCCACCTTTGTACCAGCTCTGCTTCATTCCTGTCTGAAGAAGGGCTACTGGCTGCTGCTGTGCCATCATCACCTGCCACTTCTCTTGGAGGCATCATCCCCCTTCTTACTCTCAGGGATACCACCTCTCAGCTCTGCCTCACATCCCCATCTCCTCCTGATCCAGTGAACATGCAGCCTTCATTAAGGAGAGTTTCCTGGATTGCTGCATAAATAAATCTGCTATTCCCTGTACTCTGTAACTCTTGCATCGACAACCACAGGTTCTAATACTCAGTTACTAACATGTTATCATGGTAAAACAGCACAATAACTAGTCTATGACAATTCGGAGACATGAATTTTCTGCATGTTCTGAATAAAAATTACTGTTGTTGCTGGATCTGTTCTCAGAAATGTATTGTTGTGCAAAATTCAGAATAAAAAACAATAGGTCAAAACCACACTGAGATAGCCACTTTGCATACATGAGAATATAGCTGTTATAAGAGGGAGAGAAAGAGACTGAACAAGAATAAGGAAACAGGAGTGTCGGTGAGAATATATAGAAGTAGGAAGGCCTGTGCATATGTGGAGAATGAAAAATGATGCAGCCCCTGTGAAACAGAGTACAGTGAGTGGTTCCTAAACAAATTAAAATTGAATGATCATGTGATCCAATGATTTTACTTCTGGTTACATCCTAATGTGAAATAATTGCAGTTTATTAAAAAATATTTATAACCCATGTTTATACCACAAATCTCTTCACCAGTTCACACCCAAATATGGGTGTCTTAAAAAGTTGTTGACATTTATTATTTCCTTGAAGTATCTCTTGCTTTTCTTTACCACAGTGGTCCAGAATACTTAATGGAGGAGGAAGAAACTTTGTTGTTTGTATTTTTTTTTGTGCGTGTGTGATGCTAGAAATTAAATTCAGGGCTTCCCTAATGCTAGGCAAGAGCTCTGTCAGCTGAATTACACCCCAGACCATGAAAGAGTGTTTTGATACTTCCAACGACTCTGTTGCCTGGTTGACTCATAGGAAATACCATACCTAGGGAATAGTGAGCTGACTTGATGAATTAAAATTTGCTACTTACAAAAAAGTATCATGACATTATCTTCACAAAATTGTATTATCTTGGAATCAGAAAATTCCACTTCTGTGTAAACCCAAAAGAAATGAAAACAGGTTATCAAAGAGAAATTTATATTTCCATATTCATAGCAGAATTATTTACAATAGCTAAAATGTAGAAACATCCCACATGTCCTTTGAGGAAGAAAAAGATAAAGTTTGGTATACACGTGAATGGATTATTATTCAGGCTTAAGAAGAGAGAAAATTCTGACACATACCATGACATGGATGAAATTTGAAGACATTATTTTGTGAAATAATCCAGAAACAGAAGGACCAATACTGGGAATGTAAATATGAGTTGTCAGAGACAGGCAAATGTGTAGAACAGAAAAGTCTGTATGGGTTATTATGTGGGTGGTTTTCAGGGACAGGGGAAAGTTGAGTATGAGGAGTTATTGTTTAATGATACAAAGTTCAGTGTTGCAAGATGAACAGAGTTTTGAAGGCAGTGATAGTGATTGCATAATAAGATGAATCTATTTAATGCCACTAACCTGTATAATAACAAGGGTAAAAATAGTAAATTTTATATTGCCACAATTTAAAATGATTTACTTCCCTAAAACATTTACTACTTAATATTATGTAGATGGTACAATGGAATGTGGGTAGAGGTTGGGAAGGGTAGGCAGGGGAGGGTGCATATAGGGAGGTTGGATTTCATTAGTGCATTCTATTCATGTCTAAAAATATCACAATGAGCCCTTTAACGTGCAAATTGAATGTGTTAATAAAAATGAAGTCAAATATAAGAAAGAATTGTAAGTGACTGGCGAAATATTGGAGGAAGAGACCACCAAGAGACTGCCTCATGCAACAGCAAAAGGGTTTATTTGGGGACCAGCATGCTGGGTCTCAGTGCTCACTTGAATAGAGCAAAGAAAGATAGAGCCCTGCGAACAGCTTAAGCAGAGCTTATATACTTTTCTTGGAGAGGGCAGGGAGGGAAGTTCATTGACAGGTCAGTGCGAATGGGCAGTTTGCCTGCAACCGAGTGAGGGAGTGCATCCTGCAGTTTGGCAGTTAGGGACAGCACATTCTGGGAACAAGATTAGCAAACAGTTCTCAGGATTTTAACAGTGTTTTGCTCAGTGTTATATTAAATTGTGTTTTTTAAATAAAGCTATCCTAAAAACTATAATGTAATCAAGATGCAAAAGACTCAAGAGAAGGACTGCCTAGTGTGCACAAGGCCCTGGGTTGCATCTGCAGCACTGAGGGTGTGAGGGTGGAAACAAAGGTGAAATCACTCCTGGGGCAAGTGCTCGTCTGTACTCAGAGATCTCACTCTTTGTAGTTCCTTTTTATGGGTATCTCTTCTGAAATTTGGCTGGTTTAGGTGACTCTCCAGGAATTTCCATGGACTATGATAGTCAAGCCAAAGTGACTCCATTTCGTATTGTAACTCCGTTTTGTAAAACAACCATGCCAAGTAGAAGGGTCATGACCAGGGCAAGATGTTCTTTTCCTTTTGCTATAGAAACCTTTAAGAACGCAGAACTAAGTAATGGGACATTGTTTCTGTAACTAGGGTAACGGGACTCTGTTTGTGTAACTTGGATGACTGGGATAATTGTGATTGGCTGAGCATCCCTCCACCTGACTGCATTCTCCTGCTTCTGTAACCTGGCTTGCTTGCATTGGCTAGACCCCCAAATGTCCCTTTTGTGGTTTTCAGGCTTATAAAGAGCGCCCTTGCAATTGTTCGGGACTGATCAGGGGAACAGCTTTATCTTGTGGTCAGTTGCCACCAGTGTGCTTCAATAAAGGCTTGATTTGATTATACGTGAGTGGTCTGGAAGTCAATTTATGAAACCCCGGGATGAAGCTTTAACTATAAAAGACTATGTTCTTGGAAGTAATTTTCCAAATTGAAATGTGTTATCCATAGAAAGGTGGGACTGATGAAGCTGCTCCACCCTGACCAGAGGGATTAACTTCCCACAGCATCATTGAACTTAAATGAAAGGGCCTATTTCCTTCCAACTCCTACCTCCTCAATGAGTCACTGGGAGTAGTGAGAGAAGATGGTTTATTTTGGTTTCAAAGTTCTGACCCAGTACCTTGGCAAATCCTTTGACAGTGAAAAGTGGGTGCCGCAGTCTGGCTGGGCACAATTCAGGAGCCACTTGTCAAAAGAAATGAACTTTATTTTTAGAACCACACACGCCAAACAAAACAGCTCCTCAGGAAAAACCTTCAGAGCCCAACTGCCACCACCGGTTTCCCACAAGCCTCTCACCCTCCCCCACTCCTCCTGCTCTTGAGGCCAATTGGCTGGGTCACGTGGGCAGAGCCAAAAAAGTCTCCCCATGAGCAGGTCCGTGGTCTGAAAGGGCAGGGAAACAGCCCAATGAGCATCACCGCAGAGGAGCCAATCAGTTGGCAGCTAGAAGTTGCTGGGGCCGCTGTGAGCCAATCATCAGCTGGCAGCCGGAAGTTTGCTGGAAGCTGGAAGTTTGCTGGGGCCCCTTCGGCTGTGGTTCTCAACAAGTGGGGAACCCAGTGGGACCACACCTAGAGACCAGGTTCCTCACAGAGCTTTCATCCTCAGGATCTACTCCAGGACCCTGTGCTTTGTAGATATTGTTTCTAAAAGAGCAAGGACTCAGATTCAACTCTTGGGAAAAGGAGAAAACCTTCTCCTATTTAAAAAAAAATTATGAAAATACACTCTTTGGGCCCCGGGAAAACAGATTGGGGAATAATCTGTTTTCCCCAATGAAGGACATTTTGGAGGATCTCAAAAGAGAGGTGAAGGGTCCTTTTGTCTTAGGAAGAACATCCTGCATACAGGAATCAGGAGTAGATGCTCCATGCCAAGTGCCCAATTATTCATAATTTGAAGCTCTAGCTTACTCATATTTGGATGTTTTTTAAATTTATTGGTGCATGATAATTAAACATAATATTGGGTTTCATTTTGACCTAAGTATGCAAGCATGGAACTTAATTTGCTCCAATTCAGTCCCCAGTATTTCTCCTTTTCCTCTCTTCTCCCAATCTGTTTCCTCTATTCTATGGGTTATATATCTATATCTATATCTATATATATATGAAAAGATATATTTATATATATTTTAAATTGGTGCATTATAGATGTACATAAAGATGAAATTAACTGTGGTATATTCATGTGTACATAGGATAGTTTGGTCAGTTTCATTCTGTTGTTCCTCCCTTCTCCTATCCTTCTTCCTTTCCCTTCAATCCCCTTTCTTTACTCCACTGATCTCTTTTCTATTTTGCTGGTGTTCCCTGCCCTGCCTTTATCTAGCTTATTTCTAGAAATAAGACTCTAGCTTATTTCACTTATCATGATGTTCTCCATTTCCATCCATTTGTTAGCAAATGCCATTATTTCATTCTTCTTTATGGCTGAGTAAAACTCCATTGTGTACATATACGACATTTTCTTAATCCATTTGTCTTTTGGGAGATATTTGGCTTATTCCATAACCTGGTTATGGTGATTTGCACTGCTATAAACATTGATGTGGTTGTGTCATTGTATATGCTGATGTTAAGTCCTTTGGATATATACTGAGTGGTGGGATAGATGGGTCAAATGGTACTATTATAAAGAATCTCCACACTGCTTTCCAGAGTAGTTGTACTAGTTACATTCCCACCAGCAATATATAAATGTACCTTTTTCCCACAACTTTGCCCACATTTACTTATGTTCTTATTCTTGATTGTTGCCCTTCTGACTGGAGTGACATGAAAGCTCAGTGTAGTTTTGAGTAGCATTTCCCTATGGTTAAAAATTGTGAACATTTTTTCTATATTTATTGGACATTTGTATTTCTTTTTTTTGGGAAGTCTCTATTCAGCTTTTTTTCCGTTTGGTATTAAGTTTTTAAAGTTCTTTACATATTCTGGATAGCAATCCCTTATCTGAGGAGCAGCTGGCAAAATTCTCCCATTCTGTAGGCTCTGTCTTCATGCTCTTAATTCCTTTGGTTGAAGAAGCTTTTTAATTAGATGTTGTACCACTTATTGATTCTTGGTTTTATTTCTTTTGCATTAGAAGTCTGGTTAAGGATGTCAGTGTCTGTGCCAAATGTTGGAGTATTGGGGCTACATTTTATTCTGGCACTTGTAGAGTTTATGGTATAATTCCTAGGTCTTTGATCCACTTTAAGTCAATTTTTTTTTGTGCAGGTTAGAGATAGAGGTCTAGTTTTATTATTCTACATATGGATATCCAGTTTTACTAGCACTGTTTGCTAAAAAGGCTAACTTTTCTCCAATGCATGTTTTTAGCACCTCTGTCATGTACACATGACTGTATCTATGTATGTTTGTTTCTGTGTCTTTTATTCCACTGATCTTCATGTCTGTTTTGGTGCCAATACTATGCTGTTTTTGTTACTATAGATCTGTAGTATAATTTGAAATCCAGTATTGTGATGCCTCTACCATCACTCTTCTTGTTCAGGATTGCTGTGTCTTCTATTATTCTATTATAGGTCTGGGTCTTCTATTATTCCAAATGAATTTTAGAACATTTTTTTCTAGTTCTGTGAAGAATGTCATTGACATTTTAATAAGGATTACATTGAATCTGTACAATGCTTTTTATAGTATGGCCATTTTGACATTAATTCTGTATCCAATAACATGAGAGGTGTTTCCATCTTCTTGTATCTTTTTCAATTTATTTCTTTGATATTCTATAGTTTTTTTTGTAGAGGTCTTTCACCTCTGTTATGGTTCAGATATGATATGTCTCTCAAAAGCTCATGTGTGAGTTAATGCAAAAGATTTAGAGGTGAGATGATTGAGTTATGAGAGCTTTAACCTATTCAGTGTGTTAATCAATTGATAGGGATTAACTGGATGGTAACCACAGGTAGATAGGGTTGGCTGGAGGAGGTGGATCATTTGGAGTCTGTCTTTGGGGTTTATACTTTGTCCTTATTGAGTAGAGCTTCCTCTCTGCTTCCTGGTGCCTTTCTTCACCACATACTTCTGCCATGATTTTCAGCCTTATCCCAGGCCCACATGCATGAAGCCAGCTGTCTATTGACTGAGACTTCTGAAACCATGTGTTCCTGTATAGACTTTTTCTCCCTAAAATTGTTCTTGTCATGTATTTTGGTCACAGGAGCAAAGAAACTAACTAAAACAACCTCCTTGGTTAGATTAATTCCATGTATTATTTCATTTTTTGAGGTTATTATGGATGGGTCTGCTGCCTTACTAAATTGTTATCAGCTCTAAAAGTTTTATGGTGGCGTTTTTTGAGTCTTCTAAATATAGGATCATGTTGTGAGTGAACAGAGATAATTTGACTTTGTCTTTTCCTATTTGCATCCCTTTAATTTTGTTCTTTTGCCTGATTTCTGTGGCTAGAGTTTCTAGAACTATGTTGAATAGGAGGGGTGAGAATGGACATCTTTGTCATGTTATTCTTTTTGGAGGAAATGTTTTCAATTTCTTTCTATTCAGTGTGATGTTGGCCTTTGTCATAAGTCTGCACTAAAAAACATACTCAATGAACTGTTTCATGCAGAAGAATTGAAAAAAAATTAAAACCAGCAAATAAAATTGTACTAGAAGAATAGTTAATTAAAGGTGAATCAAGTCTGAATGAAGAATTGGAAATATATAAAAAGACAGGAAATAAAAATCCTGACTGTAAAATAACACTGAATAAATGGCATAAACTCTCGAACCAAAAGACATAGATTGGCAGATTGGGTTAAAAATATGACTCAACCATATGCTGTTTATGAGAGACTCTTTGTACAGGTAAAGACATCTACAGACTGAAGGTCAA